AATGAGTAAATATTTCCCTCTCTATCCCTGGCCCCTACTGCTGAACCGATGGGGCCCTGAGAACTTTCATTTGATTGCTGGGATTGGTAGGATTGTTATGCAAGCACAATAAGATATTTAAAGGTAGGGACAGTCAGATGGGGGAAGGGGGTTCTGTCAGACATGTTGGCAGGTGTCATGTCCTTTATTTGTAGCACCTCCTTTGGTGATGTACTGGGGGGACTCTGTGTCTTTTTATTATCCGCTGTGGGTGGGGCCAGTGAGTTCGGGAACTGGATGCCCCTGACCAACACTATGTAGGCCTGCATACAAAAGAAACAGAGAGCCCTCTGTATAGCTGAACTGCTAGGAGTACAAGAAATGGGCATGTAGGGAGAAGGTGGAGGAACCTTGCCACCCCTGACCTTTGCTTAGTGGGCCTGTGGCTTGGTTCAGGACAGCTTCAGGGACAAAGTTTGAGGAATACCCTTTGTGTGCAACCACCTGTGGGAACTGACTGATATTATCGGGGAAGATGGCTGGTTGCAATAGTACTGTGTATTATATCAAGAGTTCTGCAATCTGAGATGTGCAGATGTGTTGCTGACTGAAGTTGATGCAGTAAAGTGTTAAAAATGCATTTGGACTGGGCATTCTTTATTCCGAGTAATAGGCCTCAGCCTGGGAATATGTAAGAGGGCAGGCCTCAAGTCATGAGAATGGATGACACAAGATGGCATTGTCTCCCTAAAGGCAGGTATGTGAGCGTCCTACCTGGAGAAGAAGCAGGATGGAGCCTGGGCCAGCTTGGCAGGAACCAATCCAGGTCCCTTACAAGCACACTGTATGGGACCCCACCATTTCTAATGATGGCCCTGCAGGTGGGTAACCCACAAAGAATTCTGACCATTTTAAAACCTGCAAGTATCCCTACTTCTGGCGAAGAGAATGAAAGGATTCAACGCTCTTATGAAAGTAAATAAGAGAATAGGAGCACAGCTACTGGACATGTTTTACATCTGATGAACATATAAGAATGCATGGCATGTTCCAAAAGAAAAATAACAGACATATTTTACCCTTTAGGGCAGCGGTTTCCATGAATACAGCAAATCAATCTCATCAAAATGCATCCCAGCCGGCTAAGAAGAAAACATCCATTCTGTACGTCAGGCTCCTAAAGCTTTATTGTGCTTTTTATCTGCACTCTTATGCCGGCCTTAAACTCCTAATATTGGGCAGTTCATACACCTGTTGTCATATACCTCATTTGTAGCTCTTTGATTTCAATGTGGTGCAGACATTAGAATGCACAGTAGGGGTTAAAGCACTCAGTAGGATGAAGATAAAAACTGTCCATATAGTTTAGCTGTCAGAATCAACATATAGGAGAACGCAACATGACACAGGCTGATGGTGGAGTGGTAAATATAGTTATGTAGAAGATAAGATCTCCTCTGCCTAGAAGGAATATGAAGCAGTAACAGCTAAGCTTCTACCAATAATGGAAGATTATGAGGCGTTCATTAACAGAAAACAGTCACCTAATAGGGTCTATGATAGCTGGATCAATAATTAATCTACTAATTTTTAATGGGCTAATGCCTCTTTATAATGGGAGGCTGCCTGTACAGATGCTACCCGGGGAAAAGCCTTTACTAGTTACTACTTGAGATTTAAGAGAAGGTATAGCATATTGTGTGGAAGCAAAGTAAGCAAGAGAGGCGAATAGGGCTTCAAACACATTATATATGTAACACCCTGCAGGATGTTAAATGGACACTAGATGGCAGTGTTCTGCAGCTTAGGGGCATACAGACTCTGTTGAAGAAAAGCTTTATTGGACTTGTAGGCTGATAGCAGGACTTTCTTGTTTAACCACTCCCCCTCCCCCTCCCCCGAGCATTTACCCCCCCCCCTTCCTTACCAGGCCATTTTTTACATTACCGTGCTGTGTTACTTTAACTGACAATTGCGCAGTCATGCAACGCTGTACCCAAATTACATTTATATCCTTTTTCCCCACAAATGGAGCTATTTTGGTGGTGTTTGATCAAATGTGCATTTTTTATATTTTCCGCTAACAACAAAAAAAGGCGAACAATTTTGAAAAAAAGAACAATATTTTTGACATTTTGCTATAAAACATATCCAGTAAAAAAATTTAAAAAAATGAATTTTCGTCATAAGTTTAGGCCAAAATGTATTCTGCTCCATTTCTTTGCTAAAAAAAAATCCCAATACGTGTTTTTTAATATACTAGTAATGGCAATGATCAGAGACTTATAGCAGGACTGCGGTGGGCATTCTGACACTGGAGAGGAACTGACAAACTGCCACTGACATCCCCATTGACACCAATTCAGTGCTAATAAAAATCACTGACACTTTACTATAGACACTGGGCAGGAAGGAGTTAACATCTGGGGTGATCAAAGGATTAACTGTGTGCTGTTTTATTGTGTTGTCTGTGTGTGCTTTACTGTGTAAGCACGCTGCTTTGTAGTGCTCTGCTATGCAGAGCAATACAAAGCAACATGCTGGTGCTGACAGGGGAGAGATCTGTATTGTTTACATACAGACCACTCCTCTGTCACTGTTCTTCAGCAATCGCCAGGTGCCGCAGGGAATCTCCGGCCGGGACCCGGTGATCGACAGCTAAAGCCGCCAATGGCGGTGCAGGTAGGGTGGTGCACGCGCTCCCCCTACTCGGAAATACAAAATTATTTATATATATATATATATATATATCTATATATAGATATATATATGTGTGATTTTGTGCAGCCCTGTAGCAGTGTTGGAGTTGGAAAACAGGTATGAGGAGAAGGCTGTGCGGAATGCTGGAGGTTGGGCTCGGCCAGGCTGCCAAGAGCGGAGAAGAAATGAGGAATTGCTGACCGTTGACACTGCTGATGAATCTGGTGAACTGTCCCGCAAGCCGCTGGTCCAGAGTGCTGCCATCCGGTGTGATCTCTGAAGGAGGAAACTCAGGAACACTGGGGACCCCCATCTACAGAGAGTCCATCAGCTACCTGACCAATACCAGGGGTCAGGTGAGAGAGTTCCATTTTCAAGCTATTCGAGTTGCCAATGACATTATTTAAGTCTGCTGCTTTCTGCATAGTTTAACTGACACTGTTCACAACTTACTGTACACATGTTAAGGCCTAGTTCACCCGGCCTACCGATTACTACACTTTCAGCATAATCCAATCACAAGAGCCCACTGCCGTACCTTGCTCTCTGCAAGTTAAGTCACATCATTGCTTCCATTGCACATTGGCCCACATTCACCACAGAGCTCCTGCATTGCTCCTACAGTTCGCTAATGAGGTCGCATGAGAAATTAATCCCTACAGAAAGGGCTTCTGCTCATTCTTTAATCCTTTCATAAATTTACATCTCACCCTGTGTGTGTTAAATGGGTACTGTCCAGGCTACCTTCCACTTAAAGGGGCTACTTTCCTTTGTACTCACACTCTATCAAGGAACTTCTACCTTTGCTTCCAGAGGGATTCGAATTTTTAAAGTGCACCAACTCGGGCCCTATCGAGCATGCAGAAGATTGTATACTGCAATTTTAAGGGACAGTGACTTATTTAGTGCAAGAGTTTTTTTCTTAGTCTCAGAATTGAGACCTGTCACCTGCTTCTGAGAACCCAAAGTGATAGCCACTCTGCTTGGTAGTTGTTTCTTCTCACTGGGGAAAGACATCTCAGGGCTGGGGTTACTGGCTAAATTCTGAATTGCAGGGCATCCATAACTGATTGAGATTTTGTTGTGTCTGACTTTTGCTTGAAATAGCTCCACATGATAGCTATTATTTCATGTACAAACGTTTCTGTTTTACTGTGATTACATTTTATCTCAATACAACCAAGATATCAGTTCACTCTAAACTGTGTGTGAGTCTAATTTGTGGTTAAAGTTAGAGGGCTCCTCTGAATGGAGGTTTAAAGTGGTGTCAGCAGTTGGGCTTTCAGAGGGTCAGGCAAGACAGGGAATCCAAAATTACTCAGCGACCCCTGACCGGGTAATGCTACCTATAAAATATAGCTATTGCCTCTTAAAACAGTTAACTTACCTACAGTGGCTCAAACATGGGCTTATATGCACGAAAGGTACAAAGGATTCACTCAACAGGTCTAGGTGAAGAATTTTAGACATGTAAAAATGTTGTAGTAATGCATTAACCGTTTTAAAGGAAATTCCAAAATTATCTTAACTTTTTAAAGTTTAACACTGTGCCAAGATTCTTTTGCACACAATAATGTGGAGATTGAGTTTGAACAGTTATGCATAGAAAATCTAGGAGGAACAAGGACAGGTTAATACAACGCTTTGGAGGTAGTGAATAAAAGATAACTGCATTAAAGGTACACTCGTGCTTCAACCTAAATTATTCAGGACACTGTTTTTTTTTTTATAATGTTTATTCAAAATAACCCTAACATGATATGACGACAGAAGGCTTCTGCTATACTGTATTGCTAAAAGTATTCTGATGCCTGCCTTTACACGCAAATGAACTTTAATGGCATCCCAGTCTTAATCCATAGGGCTCAATAATGAGTTGGTCCGCCCTTTGCAGCTATAACAGCTTCAGCTCTTCTGTGAATGCCTTTCCACAATTTTTAGGAATGTGTCTATGGGAATGTTTGACAATTCTTCCAGAAGTGCATTTGTAAGGTCAGGTGCTGATATCAGACGAGAAGGCCTAGCTCGCAGTCTCCACTCTAATTCATCCCAAAGGTGTTCTGTAAGGTTGAGGTCAGGCCAGTCAAGCTCCTCCACCCCAAACTCGCTCATCCATGTCTTTATGAACCTTGCTTTGTGCACTTGTGTGCAGTCATGTTGGAAAGGCACATCCCCAAACTGTTCCTACAAAGTTGGGAGGATCAGATTGTCCAAAATGTCTTGGTATGCTGATGCCTTAAGTGTTCCTTTCACTGGAACTAAGGGGCCAAGTCCAACCCCTGAAAAACAATCCCACACCATAATCCCCCCTCCACCAAACTTTACACTTGACACAATGCAGTCAGGCAAGTACCGTTCTGGCAACCACCAAACCCAGACACATTCATCGGATTTCAAGAAAGAGAAGTGTGATTCGTCACTCCAGAGAACACGTCTCCACAGCTCTAGAGTCCAGTGGTGGTGTGCTTTACATCACTGCATCTGATGCTTTGCATTGCACTTGGTGATGTAAGGCTTGGATGCAGCTGCTCAGCCATGGAAATCCATTTCATGAAGCTTTGTACGCACTGTTGTGTTAATCTGAAGGCCACATGAAGTTTGGAGGTCTTTAGCTATCGACACAGGTTGTGACCTATCACAGTACCATGCTTGAATTCACTGAGCTCCTGAGAGCGACCCATTCTTCCAAAAATGTTTGTAGAAGCAGTCTGCATGCCTAGGTGCTTGCTTTTATATACCTGTTGCCATGGAGGTGATTGGAACACCTGAATCCAATGATTTGGAAGGGTGTCCCAATACTTTAGGCAATATAGTGTATACTGAAACCCATGAGTAGTTGGATCGTCCCCTAGGGCATGGAATCTAAGGCATGAAGTTTTCACTAGGGGCACTACATGCAGAAGTATTGCACTTAGTTTTTTGAAGCTCCTAGATCAACATTTTCTGGATTTCTCCATTAGTGGCAGGTCATCTTGGATGGCTTTAGAAAGTAAACACTGAGCCCTGGTTCACACTAATGTGGTATGGGAAACACAGCGAATCCTGTGCATATCCCGCACTGCATTGCAATCGCACAGTGTCCATGCAATCTGATATGGGTGTCAAAGTTAAATTAACGACACCCTGAAACAGATCGCAAAACGCCATACGATTACCAGAATTTGCATCACATGGGTGTGAGCACGCATGTGATACGAATCAGGTGTGGGAAAAAAGGGTCCTGCAACTTTTTGGTGTGGATGTGATGCGATTTGAGCCATACAAAATATATGGTTCAAATCGCATCGCACAGACATCGCATGTGATTTGCACAGGAATGTGATGCGGTTCCTGTGCGAATCACATGCATGTGCCGCACCGCATTACTGTGAACCAGGGCTAAATTTATCAATCCAGTAGATGGAGCTAAGCACCATTATGAAAAAAATCTGAGGTAGAGAATACAAAATAGCAGATAATGTAGTCAAAGCATTGGCCAAGGTTGGGAGAGATAGTTACTGTTGAAATCTAGAAGACGAGGCAAAGGTTGAGAAAAGCAGCTACTAATCGGGAAACACAAGCCAAAGATGGAATAGCCAAAAGCACTGGAACCAAAAGTACAACTCAAACTTATGTCCAGAGAAGGGCTGGAAGGCAAGACTGGTTGACTATCAATAAAATTAACAGAATATTAAACATCAGTAATCCAGTAAACACTTCAGATCTTATAATATTAGGACAGTGTAGTAGACAACCTTGTATAGCATATAGCACATACACATGCACCTGTTGGCATCCTTATCAATCAGTGAATAGCTGGTTGTTAAGGAGTTGGCAGCCACCACATCCTTAACAACCATAGCTCATTTGCTATAAGATGGGGTTCCCTGCGGCAGGTTGGAAGCAGAGCTGGCAGTTGGCAGGAGCCAAGCGTTAGGTGCAGACTTTTTTTTTTTTTTTTTGTGTGTGTGTGTGGGGCCCAATTCAAAATCCATACCATACCAGAAGGGCCTGGTATGGATTGGGAGGGAACCTATGCTGTTTAAAAAAAAATATATTGTTGGCGCTTTTCTTTACATTCTGCTGTCAGCGGGGAATCCCTGCTGACCAAAGATGAGCCATGGTTTTTAAGGATGTGGCAGTCATGGGTTCCTTAACAACAAGCTATTCACTGGTTGTTAAGGATGCTGATGGGTGCCAAATCCTTAACAACCAGTTGAAAGGTCATACATCCCTTAAATTTCACATGCCTGGACCACTACTTATTTAATGCATGCATTTAATTATTTATTTCATTTAGTGAATTGACTTTAACACTGTTCTATGTAGTAATCACCAAGCGATTTTGCTTTTTGAGGTAAATACCACATAAATGGATAGTGATTTGACGTTTTCAGTATTGCATGAGATATTTGGCAAAAATGTGTCACATGGCCCAAATACTGCTTGCGATATGCTGAAATGAATTGAGTCCAAAATTCTTTAAATGGAGCAAATATCACAATGCTTTAAAATAATAGCAAGAAAAGTATATTGAACGGAAATAGCAGCTCGTACCACATTATCTCTGAAGCACGATGGAAGCAGTGTTATGGCATAGACATGTATGGCTGTTAGTGGAACTGGGTCACTCAAGTCTATTGACGATATGACTGCTGACAGAAGCAGCCGGATGAATTTTAATGTATATAGGGCTATACTACCTGCTCAGATTTAACCAAATGCTGTATAAACTGATAGAATGGTACTTCACAGCATGGATAGTGAACCCAAAATAAAATGCAAAAGCAAACCCAAGAGTTTATGAAGGCAAAAATTAAATCTTCTTCAATGGCTAAGTTTGTCTTTCCACCTCAACCCGAAAATGTCACCTCCTGAAGACAAAACTGAAGGTAGAAAGATTAATGAACAAGCAGCAACTGAAGACAGCTGCAGCGAAGGTCTGACAAAACATCACTAAGGAGGAAACCCAGAATTTGGTGATGTCCATGGGTTCCAAATTTCAGACAGTCATTGACTACAAAGGATTTTCAACCAAGTAAAAAAGGGCCATTATATTTATGATTGTTAGTTTGTTAAAATACTTTGAACCCCTGGAAATGGTGAACAACGTATAAAACAAACATAACTCCTAAACTATATTTTTTATTAAACTCTTTTAAATTATAGCTGATTGCTTCATGTTTAATCTGTTGTGGTGGAGTACAGAGCCAAAATTATGAAATTGTTTCACTACCCAAATAAATGGATCCCATTTTATATTTTAGTTAAAGCTGAACTCTAAGATAAGCAAGTAGTGTCAAGTACAAGGGACATGTGTATTCTTACTTGATTTTTGGTGTGCTTTGTGTATTTCTCCCATATCTGTGCAGTAATCTAGTGTCAAACTTTGCCTATGTGCAGGAGCTTCCTATAATAAAGACCAGTCACTGCTGCTCTCTCTCCTTGTGCAGGGTGACTGGTCTTGTTTACGCCCCTTCCTGTCATTTTATGCAGGCAGCCTGTAATGGGTGAAGCTTGGTGAGCCTCTCCCATCGGTCTGCTCTATGTGCAGGCTATTTGCTGGTGTAACCACTGCTTTTACAAGGTAAAGGCATTTGGTACCTACTAAGTGGATTTAGATCCTTTGTTGAGCAAAGCAATATATTTAAATGAGAATCTTTGTACCCAGAGCTCAGCTTTAAAATCGATATATCTTATGTAAAGAATAGCCTTATGCTGACACATGATTGCTTCCTTGATGGTGCCTTAGGGGGTACCCATTGCACAGGCTACTTTAAAGTAGAGGTGTGCAGTATGCAAATAGCTCATGGTACTGAATCTTTTTAATCATGAATTGCCACTCTCATTACAGTTTTTTTTTTATCTGTAAAACATACTGAAGTGTGATCAGTGGAAACTGTGCCAGATGAACATGTTGGCAGATCTTTTGTAAAAATAGCTGCAGGCAGTGTTTGTGGGTAATGTTCTGCTAGTAAAATAAATGAAAATCTCTTTGGCCCTGTATAATCTGATAACACAATACAATGTGACATTTCCATGCAAGAACACTGGTCCCTTGCTGGTGAAAGACTACTGCATGTTTCCCTTTTCTTTCTTTTTTTTTTTATGCCAGGCTAGACACAAAAACATTCTGTCTGACAAATTGCAAGAAACTTTATTACGCTCAGAACTTTGCAGTATTGTAGAGCCTGTCTACACTTTGCTAGTCGCATTTAGTTGCCAGTGTAGTTGAAAAAAAGTCTAACAGCCATCATAGACTTAATGGGCCAGATAAACTAAGATTGGCGACTGTTGAGGAATGTGAATTGTCGCACATGACTACCTATTTTGGCGCATGACATGTCAAACTATTCTGTTGTAGCACAAATTTGGTGCATAGTAGAATGTGAATGACATCATCCTCTTGGTGCACTACTGATCACATTTATTGAACCAAATATTGACAAACTTATTTTTTTTTATACAATGATATATTTGGCACAGATTGAATGACTTTTTGTGTGGCAGTAGAAAATTTTTTTTTTACAATTGGTGCACAAGTTATATCTTTCACTTCCATTTCAACTATTATTTAACGCAACCAAAAAAGAAGGCTTCTGTGCTCCAGATAGCCAACGATAGTTTATCTGGCCTTATATTATTTAACAGATTAAAGCTGGGTATAGGCAGTTAGTTTTTTTTTGTTTTGTTTTTTTCAATCAGCCAACAGGCTGAACTATAAAAAAACTAACAGGTTCCACCATGAACACAAGTGATGTAGATGGAGGAATCCCCCCACCAGGACATTGGGGTTCGTTTACTAAAACTGGAGAGTGCAGAATCTGGTGCAGCTCTGCAGGGAAACCAATGAACTTCCAGTTTGTTTTGTTTTTGTCAAAGCTTAGTCGATAAAGCTGAAGTTAGAAGCTGATTGGCTACCATACACAGCTACTCCAGATTTTGCACTCTCCAGTTTCAGTAAATCAACTCCATTGAATTCTGACAGGGCTCCTGTCAGAATACACCGAGTAGCTGCTGCAGCTGATTGGATGCAGCTGCTAATCAACAAACATTTTCTAGCATGTCTGTTCAACAATAGTCAATCTAATGATTGACTTCTGTTAAACAGGCACAGCCACACATGGATCGAAAATCAGCTGGTTCAGCCAACAGACCGAATTTTGATACAACTATGGCCAGCTTAAGACTTAGACATGCACACCTGTTATACATGTAGCACTACCCCCTTAGGAGTTGCTGATGAATTGGGTTTCCCTATTGTCCTACAAAGCCAGGCAATCTGCATTCCCACAAAAACTTGCATCCAGAGTCAGAAATAAGTCCTTAAGCTTTTGTTTTATTTAGGGGATTTTGAACTGGGATAGGGTTAGGGGTGTACAGGATGCCCAAGGGAACTGATGACAAACTCCCTGGAACTATTTACAAGCTTCTCTTTTGTAGCACAGTCCCTTTTGGAGAGCTAGCCAGCATCTCCACACTTTACAACTTCATCCAATTTCCTCTTCACCCAGCAATCTGGAGGTTTTCCTGAGAAGGGGATCTAGTTCCTGTCCCTTTAGAGAGGTGAACAGTCACTAGTGGGGGGCTAATCTGGTTTCCCACCAGAGTGCTCCTTCCCCTATCTGCCCAGGGGGTGCAGGTGTACTCAACTCAGATCCTCTCCTGTACCACTGGCAAGTTAGCTGCTGGGCTGCTCCTTATTCACTATACACATGGTCTTCACTCAGGGGGCCAGTGA